AATTTTATTTATCTTATAGCGTATGTTAAATTGACATTTTCTTTAACCGTAAGGATAGATACAGTGATCATTTTAACCGTAAGGGTAGATAAAGTGAAACGAATGATTGTGCATTCTAATGACATCAGTCAATCTTCAAATGCACGATATAAAATGACGCTCAGGACATATGACAATTCTGTTTCTATGGAAACCATCGCGACGGCAGCTTGCTATTTTTGACATCTCTAAATTAAATTCAGAATTGTCAGAAGCTTTACAATGATTTGGATGCGAAACAAAATTTTAATCCAACCAAAAGAATGGTATCACTGAAATTAGCTGCAAATTTCCAAACAAAGAAACAAAATAACCAAAATCCTTTGTTTGGATCAGTCATCAATAAATATAATATAAAATCTGTTTGATTGTTATAGGTCGGTTCATTTAGGAATATTAAAATTACTGTGCAAATTCTTAAAAATAATCGACGACTTATACAAATCAAAAGTAGTTATTTACATAAAAGTCAGGAAAATGATACATTACTGGCGAGGAAATATTGAAGTGCAAGGCCCCTTTGGCCTGTAACCAATAAAAGCCATTATTATTATTATTATGGTCGGTGTTTCTTGTGAGAACTCAGGTCTAGCCTGGTTAACTAATCGCACGGATTAAAATCAAGTAACGATTAGTGTCTGTGTCTGTGTCTGGTGAAGTTATGTAGGGTCCTAAAAAAAATAAAAGAAATAAATAAATAAAATAAAAATTCACACCCTCACATTGAAAATCTAGAGATAGTATGTATTTCATACTTACCAACATAGCTATTGATGGGCACAATAACCAACGCTATCAGGAAAGAGGAAAACAAAACAAACAAACAAAATCATTATAATAATTCCTGTAATTTTATTAAATGGAGTTTATTGTGTAAGTGTTTCTTTGGCTTTGCGTTTGGGTTGAATACGAGTGGGTTGTGATAACGTGGTGTGTTTCTGTGAAGAAGGAGTTTTGTGTTTTTTAGCTGTGGTAGGACGTGTAATTTTATTGGGTGGACCTGTGTTTGTGGTGCATGTTGCCTTACTTGTATTTATGGTGTTTCTTTGTTCTTGAGGTTGTATTTGTGTGGTTGCTTGGGTTATTGGTGGAGACATTACAGTATTTTGTGAGCCTGTAGTGCTGTTAAGGTTGTTGCGTTTGGGTTGAGTACGAGTGGGTTGTGATAACGTGGTGTGCTTCTGTGAAGAAGGAGTTTTGTGTTTTTTAACTGTGCTAGGACATGTAATTTTATTGGGTGGACCTGTCTTTGTGGTGCATGTTGTCTTACTTGTATTTATGGTGTTTCTTTGTTCTTGAGGTTGTATTTGTGTGGTTGCTTGGGTTTTTGGTGGAGATATTGCAGTATTTTGTGTGTGGTGCTGTTAAGGTTTTTGCGTTTGTTTATTATTATTATTATTATGGTCGGTGTTTCTTGTGAGAACTCAGGTCTAGCCTGGTTAACTAATCGCACGGATTAAAATCAAGTAACGATCAGTGTCTGTGTCTGTGTCTGTGAAGTTATGTAGGGTCCTAAAATAAAAAAAAAAAAAAAAAAAAAAAAAAAAAAAAAATCACACATGGGCACAGTAAGCCACGCTATCAGTTTATTATTATTATTATTATTATTATTATATTTGTATTCTATATTAATGTATTGTATCTGGTAAACAGAGAGCATTCTGACCGTGGATCGCGCGGTCTATCAGAGTGGTTGTAATATTTTATAAAGATCGCGCGGTCTGACAGATATTTTTAACAACCGGTAGTCTGGTAGAACGTCCGGGCCGCTGCGTGGTCAGAAAGCTTTCTGTTTCACACGTACAGATGTCGCAGACTACGCTCTGTCTGACAAGGCCTTTAGCCGCAGTCTTACCAACGCGACAGCTCAGTGGTATGAGGAAATTAGAGGCCACGAGAAAGGTTTTGGCTTGACATCGAGTTTTTTCATTACAATTTGTTAAGGACACCTTCCGGATAGTTGCATTCAATGAAGCAAATATACCTCGAATTATTCTCTATCCGGTTCAATAAACGCCGATAAAATCGATCGGAAAACGTAAAAACGTAGTTAACCCAATTTTCCGGAATCGCAATCCGCATCTTTCGCGGTTACTTTGAAAACAGAAGTTTTTGGTTAACGCTTTAGTAATTTGTAAATTACGCATGGTGATCATATAATAGATATAAGCTTTATCATGGTATCTACTGCAACAATTTGATGTTCTCATGTACATTTAAATTTTAGTTTGTTTGACGATCACTGTATTTTTCATTTGTTAAGTGTCCAGTTTAAATTTCTTGACGAATTTTTATTGGTGCATCCTTAAGGCGGAATTCAGTGCATGTGAGATTAGTATATTAAGATACAAGTGTATAATCAAGTCTTTAAAGCACGCGCAACGAGTTTAAGGGCACGACGCAAAGCGGAGTGCCTTTAACGTTGCAAGTGCTTTAGAGACCAATTATACACGTGTATCTTATAGTATTTTTTATTATACCTGCAGTGTAATTTAAAAATAGGAAATACAATGAAATCATATTGACGTTATACTCGAATACATGTTTAATTAAGTGAGCTGGGTGTTCGAAATTTCACGATTGCCATGGAAATGTCACTTGACGTTTGCTTATAAAAATCATCGTCTTTGTAAATAAAACGATTTCCGTTGAAAAAGATAATACACCGTCCATTAAATCGCTTGTTGTAAAATCTAAACAAACGTTGGTAGGTGTAAAATCCAAATCCAGTAAAGCCTATTATCAAGAATATGAAAAGTTGTTTCCATGGATGAATAGGAAGTTACTTACGAATAAAGTCCTAAATGCATCGATAATGCTGGGATATATGAAGGAAATGTCAAAGGTGTTTACCCTCGTGTTTACCTATCTTTTGGTGCATTAACTCAAAACTTCAAACAATGCTGCGATTAAAAAGTGGAACAGATTTGGAAGCATACCCTAAATTACGCGCGTTTGTGAAACCTTCAACCAAAGGATAGGTACAAGCCAAAGAAATGTTCTGCATTTACAGAAAGCGACCTAAGAGGATTTTTTATTTCAGGCCCAGATTACAGTTTCAAAAGTCATACTTGAAGTATCGTTACTTAGCAACTTTAAAGCACGTGTGTTTTAAAGGCCTTTTTTCGCACGCATTTGAGTATTTAAAACGGAGATTGTGATTCAGGTATAATAAAAAATCCTTTTCATTCCTTTATTCATAGCTAATAAATAAATAAATTCAATTCACATCAATTCAATAAATGTCAGTTATTAAACTTTAGGTATAATTATATTCTGGCGAGTAACTGGATGTTGTGTAATTCTCGAATTAGTTTTGAATCTAGTCTAAACACTTTTTCTCTCAATGTGGAGGATTTAATTGGATGTTGGTAAAATACGTAAGTAGGGGCCATTTTGTTTAACCACATTTTAATTGTGGGTTTCAGGACTTTTCGATTCGATTTATATGGAGTTTGAACCAATTTATTTCTAAATCGTTGACGTTTGAATAAATCTCTTATTAATCGGAGGTAGATCGAATTTTGTGTATTTAAGGGGACCTATTTCATTGCTCATGATTATTTTTTATGAATGGCTGTGTGTTCGATCTGAAATGTTTGAAATCCCACCAATTATTGTCCAAATTCAACGTGGGATACATTCTAATGCATGGTCTTGATGACATCGTTACATATATTTTGGTGTGAAAAGGGATAGACGGGTGGATTTCCATTTTAAGTCAAATATATAAATAAAAATTGTGCCGCAGTTATTAATAATTACGCACTGACATTTGTCCTACTCCAAATTTATTATGTAAGGTCATTAACTACATATAAAGGTTTCTAATGGATTTTGTAACCAACCCTGAAATTGTAAACGGTTTCATTAGTCGCCGTGCGACGGCTTATAAAGCCTAACGCTGTCTACACATTTCACGATTGCACCCGTTCAAGAATAATTTTAACCGCACGGGTTTGAATCGTGCATAACTGAAACAATGCGTTTGAGCACGTAGGCCACTGAGCAGAGAGACGATACGGTAACCTTGTGGTCCTAGTGGCACTGGATGGATGCGACAATCGTGCAATGTGAAAAGTCTCGTATTCTTCATCAGTCGACTAAATAAACATTCCCCAGAGATTTATTCCCCCGCGGGAGAAATCGTGTAATGTTAAAAGAGCGTAACTCTACCACTATCATCTCGGATACCATATGGAATTTCTTATAGAACCTTAAAGTAATGAGATTTTATGAACAATTTTATATTCTCTGATAAGGGAGCTTAATGTGCCTTATTGACAAAATGCTCTTCATTCTAACAGTTTAAATTAGCCGAATAACCACAAATATAATGAGCTAGCCTGCCCTAAAATGTCTGTTAGCTAACAAACTTAGAAAAGTTTACAAAAGTGCGACATTCATAAATTGGCGTGTTACAAATTCAATTACCCCCATTCGACGAATGGAACATGCAAAAAAGTGACCCAAACACCTTCTGTTCTAATATGAAGGTAGGTAACCTGTTCTAATCAACTAAGAAATAACCCAGGGCACCCCTCGCGCTACAAAAAATGAACGTGCTTACCCGTATCGCGCGGACCTAAACTTCAAACCGACTGCACAACGCATGTATTCATGTAATCGTTGCCAATGAAATTGATTTTCCCTTAAAAAACGTGGAATTACATACACAAACAGGTACCACTTGTTTCAATGGGGTTGAGCACGCAAGTGTGAATAAAATGTTCCTAAACATATCGCGTGACTCTCTTATTCTTGTCAGTGAATTTCAGTTTTTCAAAATAGCGAAATTAAATTCTTGAAGGAAAGCGTGTGCGCGACAATCTTAAAATTATGCTCGCCATCTAGTAAGAGGAGGATGGACTATTGAAATTCGCCCCGGAAGTTTGTACAGCATTCGATCACCAAGTTTGAGAGATGTCTACTTTCTACAAGCTATAAACGAATGATCATACTTGCAGTCGGCTTTGGGAATGGCGGCGTTTTTAAAAAGCGCCTCAACGCTGTTTATGTGCTTTGATCCACTTCCCGAAGAACTCTCACTCGATTTTTTGCTGTTTGGTGAACGTGAATCACCATCCTCTTCTGTCGTTGCTTGCTTATTCACGATTTTATCAACCCAATCTTGCACATCATCCAAAATGTCTTTCTCCGTTCGTCTCTTATCTTTACTAATAAGCAACTCGAGAGTTTTCCAAAATTCTTGTTCCAAATCATTTTGCTTCTCGGCCGCGTCCATTTTTTGCACGAACATAATTATACGTCGCGAATTGACCCACTTCCTTTAGTGTAATAAGTTTCGAATGCCGTCTACGTTCGCGCGCATTTTCTTTTATAGTGGCGCGACCCTTACAGGTGGGAGCAATAAGGAATGTTCCGATATGGGGGTAGCAGAGCACTGAACTCGCACAGCGTATTGGCTCAAACAGCTACGAAACTAAGCAACCGGTCAAAGAACCGCAAAAAATTGATGAAACAAATAACATGTGGCATGCAAATGCACTTTATGTGCACCCTCACACCAAATCCTTCTTATTATGATACTGCGTGTCAGGTACCCCTACATAATCGAAAAGCCTTCAATCTAGGTGCAAATATCTGAATTTATGGGATTACTATAAATTGCACTATCGTATTCAATCAAATTATAGAAAGCTGTGCAAACACGCAACTGAATTTATATAGTAATAGTGAGCACGTCACACTGTATGGATTGCACATAACAAAATATGCAGAAGGCAGAATATTGCCTTAGAATGACGGTAATCTGCATTGTGCTCAAATAATTAGTCAGGGAGAATTTAAAGATAATTGCAATATCTGCAACAAATAACTGTAACGTGCCCAACTTTTTGGCAAATTATCTTGTAGCTTTCAATATCTTGGTAGATATATTACTAGGAAATGAAACTTGTTATGTCTAGTCTACAGTGTACCTAGTTCAACAACTTTAAAGACTGCTTTTACAGTTTGTGGGTTACACTTTACACAAGTTCGACAAATCCATACGACATAATTGTGAAAAAAAAAACTAAGTAAAAGAATCCGAAAGGTATAAGTGAAATATCCCAGAAAACTTTTTCTGAACTGCATTGCACGGTACATTACCATTAGGTTTAGAATAATTGAATTCCCCTAGAGTAGCTGAATGTTGGGTAGGGTGGTTCGTTAATTGCGTACGGTTTGATAGCGTCAACTCGGCGCAGTATACTGGATCTCATGAGAAATACGGTACAGTACAGTCTTTGATAAAAAAAGCTACGCAGCTTGGAAAAAAACTTCCAATTTTGCTGATGGGCGGAGTTGGTTTTGAGAGAGAGGAAATTAATTAATTCGTCTTGAGCCGTCGTAGACTCAGGTCGGGACAAGTCATATATTATTGAAGAAATTGGAGTCATATGGTATCACAGGCATTCCGCTCAAATTACTGAGCTTCTTTCTAACGGGGAGGTCTCAGTTGGTTGAACTCTCCGGTAAATTTGGCAACGTAACGAATCATAAATTCAAATCCTCTGAACTGGACTACAAAATTGGAACGCCCCAGGGATCCACCTTAGCTCCATTACGCTTCGCGATTTTTGTCAACGACCTGGATAGGAAGTTTAACGACCCGAGCATTTCTCTTTGCAAATATGCAGACGACACCTCCTTAGTGATATCGGATCCTAATTTGGACACCCTAGCACAAAAGGCCTGTGATGCTATAACATGCATAAGAGAGTGGTGCGATTCTAACCAGCTAAAACTAAACGAAACTAAAACTGGCGTAGTAAGCTTCTGCAATAGCCGAAATAACCAAGCGGGACGTCCTAACATTATCATGAATGGGAAACTGTTGCGCATTACCAGTGGTGAACGCTTCCTTGGAGTAACTGTAAGTGACAATCTAAATTGGAGCTCTCATATCGATCAAATCTGCTCGAAACTAAGAAGTGCATGCTACGTATGAGGGCCGTGGTAGGGCAGTCTGCTCTACTGAAGTACTACTATGCCCAGGTCCAAAGTCAACTACACTACGCCATCATTATATGGGGCAACTCCAATGCAACTGTCAGACTGCTGTTACTGCAAAAACGGATCATACGTCATATGTGTAACTCTGGCATACGTGACCACTGCAAACCTCTTTTTAAACAAACGCTTGCAAATAATGACTGTGTACTCCCTATATATCTATAACTGTGTGCAATTCGTTTTCGACAACTCACATCAGTTTACAACGAACGAAGAGATCCGCAGCTGTGACAGGAGGACTCGTTTCGGTTCTAAGCTGACCGTCACTCGACATAATACCACCCTGTTCGAGAACTCTCCAAAATACATGTGCATTAAACTTTTCAACAGCCTCCCTATTGATCTCCTGAAATGCAATCAGGCCTCCTTTATGTCTAAGGTTAAAATGTTCTCTCTAGATAATCCGTTCTATAGTGTCAACCAATACCTCTGCAAAACCTAATTATGTCTTTCTGTGTGTTATATGTAAATGCGTGTTACTGTTCGTCTGGTTGTAGTCAATTCTGTAGTTTATATGTATTTTTTATTATACCTGAATCACAATCTCCGTTTTAAACACTCAAATGCGTGCGAAAAAGGGCCTTTAAAACACACGTGCTTTAAAGTTGCTAAGTAACGATACTTCAAGTATGACTTTTGAAACTGTCATCTGGATGAAATAAAAAAATCCTCTTAGGTCGCTTTCTGTAAATGCAGAACATTTCTTTGGCTTTTGTACCTATCCTTTGGTTGAAGCTTTCACAAACGCGCGTAATTTAGGGTATGCTTCCAAATTTGTTCCACTTTTTAATCGCAGCATTGCTTTAAAGTTTTGAATGAATGCACCAAAATATAGAAGATTTAAATACCTTTGACATTTCCTTCATATATGCCAGCATTATCGATTAATTTAAGACTGTATTCGTAAGTAACTTCCTATTCATCCATGGAAACAACTTTTCATATTCTTTATAATAGGCTTTACTGGAGTTGGATTTTACACCTACCAACGTTTGTTTAGATTTTACAAGCGATTTAATGGACGATGTATTATCTTTTTCAACGGAAATCGTTTTATTTACAAAGATGATGATGATTATAAGCAAACGTCAAGTGACATTTCCATGGCAATCGTGAAATTTCGAACACCCAGCCCACTTAATTAAACATGTATTCGAGTATAACGTCAATATGACTTCATTGTATTTCCTATTTTTAAATTATACTGCAGGTATAATAAAAAATACTATAAGATACACGTGTATAATTGGTCTTTAAAGCACTTGCAACGTTAAAGGCACTCCGCTTTGCGTCGTGCCCTTAAACTCGTTGCGCGTGCTTTAAATACTTGATTATACACTTGTATCTTAATATACTATTTCAAGTCGCGTAAAATTTAAAATGACGTTTCCAATATTACCTGTACACTGTAATCAAAATGGAAAAAAATAAATTAAAAAAAAAGTCGCGTTTTGAGGCCCGTCAAGTCCAAGAAACCGTAATTGAAATTAGCGAGGGTTGAAAATAATCGAATTTAATAAACCGCGCGAATTCTCAGTATGCTAATGTTGCGGATTATTGTTCTGGACGTATTATAAAATAAATCGACAAGAAAGAACTCAGTCATTTTGAGATCAGAAGAAACTCAAATCCCGACTGGATCCCACTGCCGCCACAGAGAAACTAGATGATGAGTGAGATTCATCGTCCCAACAAAGTAGCTATTAAATCTCTTCATTCCCCAGTGCACCGAACCCCCAACTACTAATATCCAACTTACGGCCGGCAATAATCGCACCACAGGAAACAAAACCTACTGCTCCGAAGAATACGTCAGTTATGTAAAAAACCGAAATGACAAACCAAAGGTAGCTTCCATAATCAGCATTATACCTCGGACGAACAAATTGCCGTAATTCTTTCCAGCGACTTTCAGCAGACGTCCACACTCACCAACTATGACCCTGACATGGATCAATACAGAAAGAATCCCTTACTAATGACCTGGACCATGAACACCCAATAAATGCAACCAATGCCAAAATTCAATTCTCGGGTCGGACGATCTCTCGTTCATTCTGCTCAAGATGCAACCACTCCCTGTTTGTCTCGGAAACATTTCCGCCTCGGTAAACAAAGCGCAAACCGATCCCTGATTATACAGACCGATCTCACTCCCATGTACTATGTACAAGCTACTGGAGAAGATTTTTAACAAACGCTTAATCTGGTTTCTTGACTCTATCAACCTCTTATGTTCGGCTCAGAGTGGTTTTCCGAAAGCCAAATCCATCGTCGACAATATTCTTATGCTCGGGTCTGAAATACACTATACGATTTAACTCCTCATATTAAAGGCTGACATTTAAGGTCTTCAAAAGCTTTGATTCTAAACTCCATTCGGAGCCCAGAATCCTTTACTAAGAAAAGAGGCTTCCGCTTCTCTACGTTTTTGCAGTTAAGCCGCCAATTCTTCTCCTACGTAATCAGCAACTCCAGTTCTATAATACTCTGTTAGCTACCTTGGAGTACTCCTTGATCACAAACTCACATTGCATGAACACATAAATCGGTTGGTTAAGGAGTGCAACAAAAACCTCACCATCTTGAAGACCGTGGCGCATCACACTTAGGGTGCAGAATCAACAATACTTCTGAGAATCTACAGATGTTTCACCCAATCACGTTTAGACTACCCATCGATTACCAACTACAAAACCTCATCGTCTCAAAAAATTAGATGTCATTCAAAACTCTGCCATACGTATCGCCCTAGGTGCCTTTCGCCCCTCCCCTGTCCACAGTTTGCAATGGCTCGCGTTTGAGCCTTCCCCCTCGCCCTTTACAAAAGACGCGATCTCCTTACTTTAAATTATGTCCTGCAAATCGCCGAAAACAGCATCTATCCCACTCACAATGTCATTTTCCCAAGACGTCCACTAAACATCTTCTCTATACCATCCGATTCATCACCGGTTCTCGCTACTCTTCCAAACTGTATAAACCACTGCTTGCCTGCAGTCCATCCAAATTGCCATCTCACCTCAGCCCCTTGACCTCGATGCGTCCTTTTCCACACTCATCAAATGCAGAATACCCAATCAGACCCTCCCAGCGACAAACATAACCGTACAGTACATTAATTTATACTAACCGTTCACTCTCACTAAGTATACAAGTTCTTTTTCAGCAGTTCCCGCAGACCGAAAAGACTCGTTCACTTCTTCTGGACGGAGGACGCCACATGCCGCCTCACTGTGGCACAAGACGCAATGTTAACG